GGCCCAGAGAAATTATGCCACTTAATGAAGCCATGCCACAGATTGCAATGTGTATGTCACTCGGCTCGTTATGAGGCGGTGCGCTAATGAGTGCATCTCCAGCAGACGGCACCCAGGAGCACAATGCGTCAAAAAGCCACAGATTTCTAATTAAGAAAGTATTTTCAAGCAACTTTACAGCTCCAGCCCAGGAGTTCTCCAACAAGGCCTCCGCCACCCGTGCAGTTGGGTTGCAATCCATAAATATTAACAGGGAACCAGGGACAAAGCCAAAATACTCATTAAAAGGTCAAGAAGCCCTGTGCAGAAGTCTGGAGACATGGCTGGCACGTCTGAAGCACGCGGCTACGCACTTCCCACCCCAAAGGCGAGATGCCTCCTCCTGGCAACCCGCTAATGGATCCCCCGGGCAGGGCATAGGTGCTGGCTCCAAACCGTCCCTTTCTGACCCCAAAGTTTTCTTGCAAGGCAGCCAGGAGAAATCCTCTCCAACAAGAAAGAAAATGAAAAGAAAAAGCAATGAAAGGAAAAGAGCGAAGAGAAAGGAAGAGATCGCATAGGAAAGGATTGTGAGCATGGCTGCAGCCTGCAAACCTTACAAGGTCCCTACTACACAGAGAGAGAGAAGGGGGAGGAAAAATCATCATCTCTTCTGCAGCAACTGCTCTCCTATTTTCTCCAGACTTGGTGACAACGCTCACAGCTCGGTGCACGCAACGGGAACTACCTGCGACAGGTCAACACGTGGGTCCCGTCCCAGCAGGCGACACGGGTTACCCCACAGACCCTTCCTGAAGGCTATTTCTCCTGCCTCACCTTTCCTTCGAGGCAGCCGTGCTCGTGTGGGGCTGTGAGAAGGAAGCCCTGGCTTCATGGCGCTGCGCAGGGCAGGTACAGATCCCGCCCGTGGCCTTTCTATTTATAACCTCCTCTTTTGGGGCCGTCGCTCCAGGCACCCCAGCGAGCAGAAATCCCAACACGCAGTGCTGTGAGCACCGATATGGGCTTTATTGGGCTCTTACAAGATGGCTGTGGAGTATGAAGCTCCCCGACCCAGGACATCTTCCCATGCCGTGTTTTTCCACCTAGACAAAAGATAAAGCTTCCACTTGCCTGGCTAGCATCGATAATACGTCTGCACTGGAGCACTCTTGGGAAAAGGTGCTTGATTCCTGCAAGCTGAGGTGTTACAGGGATGGTGCCATTCCGCGGACATGGTCCCTGGACTGGTTGTCTGTCCCTGCCACCAAGGTTTCTTGTGTAAATCCTACTCAAATCATTAAAGCAATATTAAGCAATAGCAACTGTGGCTCTTTCTGCTCTGTGGGAGCCATTTCTAACGCAGGCAGCGAACTGCTCCCGCAGACCCCCTCTCGCCCACTGCTCCCGGTCACCCCTTTCCTGCTTTCCTCCCATATTCCAGCCAGATTGGGCTTTTCCTGGAAATAATTCCTCCGAAAAGCAGGCAGACAGGCTCAGAAAGAGGGGGAAGGACTCAGGGTGGCGAAGCCTCGCGTTCACCTGCCCTCCGCACCGCACCGCAGAGATGTTACACCCTCCGGGAACGGCGGCCCTTGACCTTCCTCCTGCCATCAGCGCCGCCAGACTGGGGGCTAATTGCTGCTGCTGCTACACTTTTTGTGAATAATTCATACCGTATGGGATTGCTCTTGCAACGCAACCCAACCTGCACAACACAGTGCATTTTCCCACGCGTCTCCTGTAATAACTGACAAAATAAAGTATTGGCAGAGCCCTCTGTGCTCTGCCTGTGTTATAACAAAAGCCTTGTTGTCACATTTGTGAATTTAAGCCAGTTTCCCTGAAAAATAAGGAAAGGGCCTTTCCTTCCTGAATGACAACTGCTGACACCGGATCTCTGCCGCAGAGCATGGTGTAGGTGCCACAAAGCAATATATCTCTGAACATCAAGGAGAGGTATCAAGTGAGCCCTGGGCTTGTACTGCGGCAGTTAATGTGCCGCAAGCCTGATCCATACCATTATGACCCTGAATTCAGTTCTCCCAGGCTTTCCAGGTGTTGGGGTTTCTGCAGAAGACTCAACATCTGGATCGGTTCCCCAAGGCTTGGAATTTGCAAAGCTGCAGCTGGTCTTCCAGTTCAAATGTCGGTGTTGACAGCTCTGTCTCTATGGTTGCACCAACAGTGGTTTTACAAGATTAGCCTCTAATTAATCCAGACTAAAACCATATCCTAATTACAAGGGTAGTCCATACTTACCAAACAGCTTCTCCATAGGGATAGTCAGTCCCCCCAAAATACAGTGCAGGAGGAGAGAGAGAAAAGGGAGTGGGGTCATCCCCAAAATGTCAACAGGAGCTTTGAAGAAAGCTCAGGAATCCCTTGATTTATTGGCTCTATTTGGTTCAGCAAATGAAGATCAACAGGCAAAGCAAAGGAACAGAGCAGGCTGCAGCGTGATATCAACAGCTACAGAAAGGCCTGGAAAATTATTCCTGCAGGCTTAATTTTTATTTCTGATAAAATGAGCCTGTCCTCTCCCACTCCACCACCAGGGACTGAACCATCCCTGCTCATTACTGCACTGAGCTGAAGCTCGTTACCTTGCAAAGAGATGGATGTAAAAAAATACAGGCTCTGCAGCCTGCTCCCCTGTCGTCTAGAGCCAGCTCCTAATTACGGCGAGGAGCAGCAGAGCAGAGCATTGCTGGGTCACGGATGGCCGACAGACACAAAACAGATCATGTAAACCGAGTAGTGGCGAGTCACCGCGACGTCTGCTAGCAGGGCTGCTCCGGGGGCGGGCAGACACGAACAGAGCTCAGTATTTTATCAATTTAATAACAGGAAGCTCTAGAGAAGCCCCCGGCATCCGGCTGCCCCAGCGTGTGTTACTGCATGCAGAGCTACAGGAAATAACCGAGCCAGCAATGTCCCCGGGGAGACGCGAGGTGCGTGGAGGTGACGGGGATCTCCTCACCCATCCAGGAGACCTTGTACCTACACAACAGGATGACGGAGCAGCACCCGGTGCTTAGGACACGGAGAAAGAGGACTCTCCTGGGACTGAGCTGGAAGGTTTTGGCGCGGCCAGGATGGGAGGTGGTGTCCCCCCCTGTTTGGGGACGTGTGCCAGCTGTTCTGCAGCTGGCACAGCTGGAGGAAACCTGCTTTAGCTCGGCTCTGCGACCGTCCCCGATGGGTTGGAGCTGGGCACATGCTCCAAAACCGGAGCAGGGGAAGGACGCGCTGGCCGTACGCCGTGGAAGCTACCCGCAAGCTATCCGGCGCGTGCGCAAGATCAGGAACATCTGTTAACAGAGGAGCACTGGGAACTGGAGAGGCCCCAGGTCTCCAGACCAACCTGCTTGCTGTCGGCTCGCTGGCCGGCAGACGCAGCGGTGGGCGCACGGGCGAAGGGGGACGGCACAGCATCCCCTCGGCAGAGTCATCGCAGGACTGGCTGCAACTTCTAGCACAGGCTCTAATTTCACGGAAGCCAAGAAAACTCATTTTTACCTGAAAATGCCCACGCTCGGCATGGACGGACTGGCACGCGCGTCCCAAACGAGGATCTCCCACGGAAACACGTGCAGATACGGCAACGCGCTACAAACCTCGGCCGGGCGGGGCTAGCGGGCGGGCGCCGAGGAAAGCCGCGGGGGCACAGCCCGGCGGCGAGGTGAAGCCTCGCGGATCTCTGCAACGGCGACGCGCTCGCGCAAACGCGCCAAGCGGGTAATTAGGGACAGGGATCGGTAACGAAAGCCAGAGCGGCATAAAACGCTACTTTCAAACTTTTCGCTCTCAAGACCTCCTTGCCTTTTGGGTGCTAAAGAGCTCCCCGCTGCCACATCACTGTTACTTTAATTACGCCCTAATGGGACGACACGGGGTGCTCGTTTCCGACTCTAATGAACACAAAAAAACCAGAGGGTAAAGCAGCGCCCGAGCTCGGGGGCCGTTCCCGGGCTGCTCGGGCTCAGCCCACGCCGGGGCTGCACCCTCGGGCTCCTTCCTTCAAGGGCCTGAACGGCTCTCGGGCCAGACTGCACCTCATCCGCCTCGTTCCCGCTTCTTTCCGGGAGAGCGGAGCAATTCTTCCTCACCAAAAGGCCTTAGAAATGCCCCCAAACAACCCTGCAAAAGTACAGTTGCACCTGTTGAGAAAACAGAAGCATTTCTCCACTTCGGGGGTCTCTAAAATCAGCGGGGCCAGGGGACACTGAGGCAGATCGGGGGGGGACATGTGGCCAACTGAGAGGAGAAGCCACAAGTCCTTTATTCCTTCGTGTCCGTCTTCCTCCCCTCTTCTGTAGTCTCTCCGCAGACTAAGTTTTTTCCTGGCAGGGGTTAGTCTGCAAGCAGTATCTGCTACGATAGGAACCAAACTCTCCCAAGAGCAAACTCGGCTGGACCGTGGCTCTCCACGCTTCTCGCTTTCTTAAAAGGGAAAATTAAGAAGGCACAAAGCATAACGCCATTGAACGCGAGGAGCCGTGTCCCCGACGGAGACCCCAGGCCAGCGGGAAGCACCTGAGAGGGCTGCAAGCAAGGCAGACATCCCAGCCGAGGACGGGCTTTTCCACGCCCGGCTTTTGAGGACGTGGAGCTTAGTTAAACGCCTTATCACCGACGGGGACAGACTTCAGGTTGGCCCCCCTCTAAAGAGGCGGTCAGGAAGCTGCTGAAGCTGGGGAGATGTCCCTCAGAAAGGGAGACGGATGAACTTTCCCAGCACTGAAGAGGAAGAGTTGTCTGGGATTAAAAAGAAAATAAACGGGGGCGGCCACGAGGGCGTCCCGCTCGCAACGCAGCTCCTCCCAGGCAGCGGGCAAGCAACGATGCTCCTTATTCCCAGGAGCGACGCTTCTCTGAAGAAGCGGACCGCCGTCTAGCAGGAGGAAAAACGGATTCAGCGCGCCGCGTCCGCAACGCGCGGGCTGGCGAGCGTTGGTGGTGTTGAGGGGGGAAAAGAAAGGGTGGGAAGCAGAGGCGCCGGGGGGGCACCGACTCACCAGGCCTGGGGCTTCCTCTTCACGAGGCCTCGGCGTCGCCACTGCGAGTGCGGGCTCAGGTGGTAGGTCAGCTGGCGGCAGAGCTTCTCCATGGCCCCCAGCGAGTCGCCCTCCCGCCAAAACAAGGGG